CAAGCATTTATTTAGTCAACAAGCATTTCCTGGGCAGCGCCCATGCAGGACTGGGGCTGACCCAGGAAAGGAACCGGCAGGACAACTCAGGACAACTCACGCTTGGTTGCAGGACGCCTGGTTGAAGCGCGCAGCAGATGAAGTTGCCCAGCAGGTCCTCCTCCAGGGGTGGCGAGGTATCGGCAGTCTGGACAGAATGTTGATGTAGTGGAAGCGTACCACTCCCTCACCGCGTCCACCCTGACGAGTAGGTCTGGTAGAAGCAGTCGATTTGTTCTGGTTGCACTGGACACGAGAACCACAACATCAGAGGGGCCAGCAGCGGGTAGGCAGCAGCACGGGGCCCAGCGTCCCACGAATAAGTGGCTGGTGGCGGAGGACTGATAGGTGTCAGACCAGGAGTGGTTAGGACAGAAGCGGGAGAGAAGCAAGAGCCCGGGAGCATGGATTAAGGACGCGGTAGACCAGGAGTGGCCACACACGTGCTTGGGTTCGTTTATAGAGCCCCTGCAGGAGGAGCAAGAATTCTTCTCCCATTTCACAGATTGGGAAGACGAGGATCAAAGGTTTGTCCCAGCTGCGAAGGCTCTGGCTCAGCACTCCACCCACACCCTGGAGGGCCTCCCTTAGACTTCCCTCGTCCTCCCATGTATCCTTTCTCTTTACTTGTATTTTTTTAAAACATTTGTCTCCTTTTTACCATCTCCTTATTCTCTATCTTAGGCTGCCAGCCCGGTTCCGCGCGCACGGAGGTCCCCACTGAGCCACCAGTAGGGCGGAATTCCGTTTCCATTTCCACCAAACATGTGGTTACTGCCGCTACACCTTTAGCTTCGGCCCGCACGAGGAGACCCCACAGCTGGCGCACCCAGAGGTGCTATTTAGTTATTTAGTTTTATTTTTATTTACTTATTTGCTTATATTTTTGCCACCTCTCGCGTCACTAGGCCAAAGGAGGCCGGGGGTCCGAGAGAGATGTGAGTCCGAGCCGGGCGGGGCTTCGGACGGGCGGGGTCCGGTAGAGGGGTCCAGGGCGGGGCTTCGGGAGGCGGGTGCATGGGAGTGGGGTCGGTGGTCTCTGGTGGGCGGGTCCGGAGGGGTCAGGGGGGGCGTTCTCGGGGGGGCGTCGGAGGGTCATGGTCACCTGGTGGGGCGGGTCCGGAGAGGGGCGGGCGGGCCTGCAGGGCGGCCCGGAGGGGCGGGCGGGGCCGGAGGCGGCGGCGGAGGGCGGCGGGGCCCGGAGGGCGGGGCGGGCCCCGCGCGGCCTTACCAGCTGGAAGCCGATCTTCCAGTCCTTCCAGTCGACTTGGGGGCTGTTGTCCCGCATGCCGGAGGCCGCGCTGCGCGCTCGGCGGGCCCGGAGAGGCGGGGGCGGCGCCCGCAGGCGCTGCAAGGGGTGCGGCAGAGTCTCCCGCAGGTCGCGCCGGCCGCGGGGGCGGGCCACGGCGGTGTTGGGGGACTTGTACTTGTACAGGTCGAAGAGTGTCTGCTCTGTGATGCGGTCCAGCTCCTCCAGCTCCCCTTTAATTTCGGTGTACCTGGAAGGGACGATGGGGAGAGAGTCGGACTAGGGCGGCCTCGCGCGAATCCCTGGCCTCAGTTTCCTCCTCTGTAGCCGGTGAGGTCCGTTCATCCCGGAGAAGCCTGGGGAGGAGTGCTCCGGTGTCTCCAGGGCTGTCTCGCGGGGGAGGTGGAGGCAGGAGTGTCCGTGGCGGCGACCGGGAGCCCGGCATGGCAGCATTTATTGCGGCCTGTTTTTTTTTTCTTTTCTTTTTTTTTTTTTGAGACAGAGTCTCGCTTTGTTGCCCAGGCTAGAGTGGGTGCCATGGCATCAGCCTAGCTCACAGCAACCTCAAACTCCTGGGCTCAAGGGATCCTCCTGCCTCAGCCTCCCGAGTAGCTGGGACTACAGGCATGGGCCACCATGCCCGGCTAATTTTTTTTTTCTATATATATTAGTTGGTCAATTAATTTTCTATTTATAGTAGAGACAGGGTCTCGCTCTTGCTCAGGCTAGTTTTGAACTCCTGACCTCGAGCAATCCGCCTCGAGCCTCCCAGAGTGCTAGGATTACAGGCGTGAGCCACCACGCCCGGCCTGTTTATTGAAAGAGAGCGAGGAGGCGCCTGTCTGTGGGCCGCTATCCCGCACGCCGGGAGCCACAAGGGAACCCGGAACTTGTCGGCCTTTTGCTGTGTGCAGGTCTTCCTGCCCCATCCTCTCAGGCGAGGGTGGTGGCCTTTTGGCTTGTCTGCCCCTGGACACCTAAGTCTAGGGTTCTCAGCTACACTTTTAGAACCTCCCAGGAGCTCTTAAAATACCAGATGCCTCAACCACCCGGTCCCCCTCCCCCTTCCTCCAAGACTGAGTTGTAATGACTTTCTGGTGTGGCCCAAACACAACAAATGAAACACTGTGCAGTGTAATCCTCACGTTCCTTCTCAATACAGGCCCGATTACCGTCTCCAGCGTCAAAGTCCAGAGTAGCAGGGTCTTGGAGAGACAATGTACCAAAATAAAACAAATATCTAGGCCTAATAAATTGAACACGTTTGCATGATACAAAACCAATATACAAAAATTAATTGTATTTCTATATACTAGCAACAAAAGGTTGGAATATTATACTACAGAACAACACCATATTAATAACAAACGGCATCAAATTCCTAAGAATAAATCTAGCAAAAGATGTGCAAGACTTCTAACACTAAAAACTGTATTGAAATCCCTGCAGAAAGAAATCAATGACCAAAGCAAATGGAGAGACATACATGTTCATGGATAGGAAAGTCAATATAGTTGATGTCTCCCAAATTGATCTTTAGATTCAAAACAATCCCTATCAAAATTTCTCGAGATGCTTTTTAAGAAATTGAAAGGTTGATCATAAGATTAATATGGCAAAGCAAAGGATATAGAATAGTCAAAAAAACTTTGGAAAAGAAGGGCCAAGTGGGAGGCCTTATCCCATCTGACTTTAATATTTACTATAAAGCCACAGTAATCAAAAGTGTTGTTCTTAGTAAGAACAGACAATAAATCAATGGAACAGAGTCCAGAAGTAAACTCACACATCATGGTCAACTGATTTGACCAAAGCACCAATTCAATTTAGTGGGAAACATTTTTTTTAATGTAACAGATTGTCCTGGAACAACTAGATACTGTATGGGAACAAAACATCCTCAATCTCTACCTTATTCTATGCACAAAAATTAATTCAAGATGGGTCATAAACCTAAACATAAAATTCAGAACCATAAGGACTCTAGAAGTTGGAAGATATCTTCCTGACCTTGGGGTAGGCAAAATTTTCTTGTAAAAGAAATATCTAATGAACAATCCCTACAACAACCCCATTCAGTAGGCACTCTTATGAATAGACCTACATTTTTAAAAGATCTCTCCACCCTTTCTACACAACTGGAGTAAAATGGTACAACCACTTTGGAAAACAATCTGGAGTTCCACAAAAGGTTAAAAATAGAGTTACTATATATAACCCATTAATTCCACTCCTAAGAGAAATTAAAACATATACCCACACACACACACAAAATTGCACACAAATATTCACAGCAATATTATTTATAATAGCCAAAAACTAGAAACAACCCAAATGTCCAATTGATGAAAGTATAAATACAATGGTGTGTGTCCATACGCTGGAATATTATTTGGCAATAAAAAGGAATTAAGTATTGATCCATACACCAACATGGATGAACCTTGAAAACATGCTGAATGAAAGAAGCCACTCACAGAAGACCACATATATTAATAGTATGATTCTATTTACATGAAATGTCCATAATAGGCAAATCTATAGAGACAGGAAGTAGATTAGTGATTGCTCAGGGCTGGGAGTTAGGACAGTGGTCCCTAACTTTTTTGGCACCAGGCACCTGTTTCATGGAAAACAGTTTTTCCATGGGCAGGGGGAAGTGACAGAGTTCTGCAGCCTGGTCCCTAGCAGGCCACTGACCAGTACTGGGAGTTGGCAGGGTTAGGGGATGGTGGGAAAAGATAAAAGTGATTGCTAAAGGCTATGATGAGCTTTCTTCTCTGGGTGATGAAAATGTTCTAAAATTGACTGTGGTGATAATTGCACAACTCTGTGAATATACTAAAAACCATTCAGTTTTATGTGTTAAGTGAGTAAATTATATAGTGTGTAAATTATATCTCAATAAAGCTGTAATTTTTTTTTTTTTTTGAGACAGTCTCACTCTATTGCTCGGGCTAGAGTGCTATGGCGTCAGCCTAACTCACAGCAACCTCAAACTCCTGGGCCCAAGTGATCCTTCTGCCTCAGCCTCCCGAGTAGCTGGGACTACAGGCATGCCCCACCATGCCCTGGCCTAATTTTTTTCTATATATTTTTAGTTGGCCAATTAATTTCTTTCTATTTTTAGTGGAGATGGGGTCTTGCTCTTGCTCAGGCTGGTCTTGAACTTCTGAAAGTGTATTTACATATCTAACATCACAGTTCCCTATGTACAGAGAAAACAAACTTATTTAATCTTTGGTATAACTCAGCATACTGTTAGCTAACACTATTGTCATTCCCTTTTCCAGGTGAAAAACCTGAGGCCTGGTGACTTCCTCCAGATCTCACGGCCAGGAAAGGGGTCAGATAGATAGCATCTTCCAACCATCACACTGCCCCTGTCTGTCCCTGCTACCTCCGGCTACTTTAGGAGGGCCACGTGGTGTCCCAGAAAGAACGCCCAAACCAGCACCAACTCGACGCGGGTCCTGGTGCTCTGGCTACATACTTTCTAGCATGTAATGTTGGGTAAGCAATGCAACCTTTCTGAATCTCAACCTCAGTTCCGCATCTGTAAAATGGGGGTAACACTAGATTAGTCTACCACATGAAGCTCTTGGAGGGTGAAATGAGAAAATATCCAGTGACACCAAGTGAAGAGACCATGGACTGTCAGGAAGACACAGAATAGCCTGAAGCCCAGGAAAGCGAAGTGTCTTCCTCAAGGTCACACACGAAGAATCCAGGTCCCCCAGACTGGCTGGAGCTATTTCCAACGCAAGCCACCACATCCTGGCTGGGCCTCCCTTCCCAACCCTTCTCCCAGCTGGCTCCATCCCTCTGTCCCCTCCTCCGCCTCCTGCACCTCCCTCCCTCTCATTAGGAACTCCAAGCTGTTGTCACACCCCTTCCTCCAGTGAGCCCCAGTAAACACTACCTGGTCTTGCAGCCCCTGCTCCCCCCACACACACCTGTGACAAGGCCTCCAGAAGCGGTGTGGCTCCACACGGAACTCCCTCACTCCCCAAGGTCACTTCTGTCCTTTTTCGGGGGGGTTAAGGCAGGAAAAAGAACTCCTATATCACCCTTTCAGGAAAGGAATCTCTCCCTCCCGACTCCCTGATACTAGAAATTCCTATAGCAAGAGGCAGAACCTTTGAGTTGACACTGAGAACTGAGAGAATTGACCACCAAAGAGAAAGCACACGGATGACATCAGTCTTATCCTGAGAAAGCAGGGGCTGGAAGGAGGGGATAGACAATGCCCAAAGGGGCTCCCACAAGGCCGTCCAGCCCTTCCAGCCTCGACCTCTACCCACGTCACAGTCACAGCCCTCCCGCCATCTGCTCTGGCAGGCAGCCCCACATTGGAGGGTGGGTGAACTCTGCACAATCACCAGGCAGGCATTACCTTCTCCATTTTACAGTTGAGGAAACTGAGGCCCATCATCTAAGCAACTTCCCCAAGGTCACTCAGCTAGGAAGTACTAGAGCCAAGATTTGAACCCAGGCCCGTCCGACTCCGTGCTTTCCCACCACGTCTGCCTACGTCTGACACCCCTGCTCTCTTGCCATCTAGCCTCCCCCTTCCCCCTCCTTGCCTCCTCTTACAGAACAGCCTTGGGACTTGCCTAGGCCCCCATCCCTCCCCTGGGAGGCCCCTCCTGGAGCATTCTCAACCAGCATTTCCAGGGCACCAGGTGGGGGGGGAACACTAGGACACACAGCAGCCAGCTTCCTCCCCTGCCACTGTGCCTCCAGGGAATGCCTAGAAGCCTTGACTTCCCTTTCTCTGGCCCCTTCCCTAGCTCCATTCCTCTCCTCTCAGCATGTCCAGACTTGTCTCCCAGGGGCTGGGAACACTCACATCACAGGCAGGTGCCCCTCACCTGTGAGCCCCTGGGGACAGAGATCACCCCATTCCACAGTGTGGAATTCAGTCCTGGCTGTGACATCTTAAGAGCAATAGGCGCTCACAAAACAGTGATTATTCAGAGGATGGACAGCCAGGGTAATGGTCTAGAAACCAATTTGTTCATGGAAAAGTTAAAGGAACTAAGTTTCAATCAGCTTTCCAGCCCATATCCCAACCACTCATTAGCTGGTTACCCTTGGGCAAGTTACTTATCTCCTCTGTGCCTGCTTCATCATCTGCAAAGTGGGAGTAATAATAGTACCTGCTTCACAGGGTTGTTCAGAGGATTAAGTGAGTTACTATATGAAAAGAACTGAAGTACCTGGCAGAGTAGGTACTGTATAATTGCTGCTGTTGTTCTTGTTATCATTACTGTTATTATTACTATTATTGGAGAAGAAAAAGCTAAGGAGACACAGGAGCACTGCCTGCCACTTAGCTACCATGCAACCTCATGGTCTGAACAAAAGTGGAGCTAAAGACCCAGATTCCGATTCTGACTCCTCCACTTAACAGCAGGGTGACCTCTGCCAAGCCTTTAGGTTCTGGGAGGCTCAGTTTTCTCATCTGACTATGGGGCTCATACCTGCCCTCCTCATCTAACAGATACAGTATAAGGATGAGGACTAAACTCTGATCTTTTTCTTTTGCTAAAAACTCCTTCCTAAGGAGGCCAGCTGTGTTAGGCTGCCAAACGATAAATTCCCACTAGGCAGCTTTTGTTAACCAAATAAAGTGGTGGTTTACTTCCCAGCCTGATTATGGTATGGCATTAACATCACCCAAAAGAAGCCCCTATCATAACCCTAGCAGATGCCTATCGTAAATTTAAAATATCTTAACTCAAGCATCCTAGCAGATGCCTATTTGTAAATTTAAAGCATCCTAGCAGGTGCCTATCATAAATTTTAAAATGTCCTCCTGTCTGGACCTCCCAGAGTGCTCACACCCTTATCTTAAAATAAGCATATCCTTTCTGGTCTTCTAGATAAAGTCTAACTCTGTCAGCCAATTGCCAGCCAAGAAATCTTTAAACCCACCTATAACATGTAAGGCTCTCCCCCTTTGGAGATGTCTCACCTTTTGGGGCCAAACCAATGTATGCCTCTCATGTATTGATTTGTGACTTTGCCTGTAACCCCTGTGTCTCTGAAAATGTATAAAACCAAACTGTAGCCCAGCCACAACAGTCCACTTGCCCAAAGCCTCTTGGCAGTGGCTCTGGGTCATGGTTCTCAAATTTGGCTCAGAATAAATCTCTTTAAAATTATTTTACAGAGTTTGGTGTTCTTCCTTTGACAAGGATGAAACTGAGAGAGTGGGCTTTGCAAACTGCCGCGCAGTTCCTGCTGTCGTAGCTGCACCCAAATCCATGGCTGCAGGAGGAAGGAGGAGACATCTTTAGGGCTGCTTCAAAGAGACAGAACCAGGACCAGAGGACAGAAGTTATCATGAGGCAAACTGCAGCTTTACCCAAGGAAGGGCTTTCTAATAGCTGCTGCCACAGAGGCAGCAGGAGTCCTGCCATGAGAAGGGTCCAGTCACTGCGGCAGGGACAGGAGGGTTGGACAGGAGAGTCGCTGCAGGAGTCTGGGTCTGAGCTCTGTGTCCTGCCAGGCCTGCTGAGCGAAGCCTGGGGTCCGGGTGGTGCGGGAGTGCAGGGTCTGCCCACCAAGGTCTGGGAACAACAGTCAGCACACTCCCCTCCCTGCAGGAGGGGAAACTCTGGGGAATTGGCCCTCTCCTCACCCAGGCCTCCTGCCCTGCCATCTCCAGGGAAGAAGATTCCATGACCTCCTTTGTTGCTCAAGAACCCCAAGTTCTTAGGTTCAGACTAACGTCCTTCCTGGGACTGGACAAAAAGAATCCGTCTGTGGGCTCCGTCTTCCATGGACCTGGGTATGACTCCTTTGCGTGAAAAGCCTTTTGTTGACTAGAGAGAAAGGGAGGCGGTGGCCCACCCTTCCTCTTGAATTCTTACCACTTCCTCATTTAGTCTGAAAGGTCTTTGGCTCTTTCCTTTCCTGAAGTTCCCACACAGTCCATCTTCCTCCTCTCCCCCTGCTGGCTGCTTCCCTCAGCAGGTGAGTGCCCCTTGTCCCTCGCTGCCTCATTCCTGTTCCTCTGTCTCAGCAACTGATTTCCCCGTCAGTCCTGCTTCCCTGGGAGGAGTCAGTCACCCTGCTGCCTCTGCCCAGCAGCCATGACTCACAGGCAAGTCAGCACCCACCGGGCTGCATTAACCTGTCCACCCTCCCTGGCCTCTCTCCCGGACAGAAGCCGGCAGCTCCTGACAAATAGTCCTCCTGACTACAGCTCTTCCTGCTGGGCTCCCGGCAGCCGCCCCAAACCTGGGATGCCTTTGCCTGGTCCCTACTTACAGTGTCATGGGACAAAGAGCTTTGAAATCAAACACAGCTGGTTTGCAGCTCAGCTGCTAACCTGAGATGCACTGGCTCTTAGTTGGGAGGGGAGATTTGGAATCCCAGTTTCACCACTTGCCACCTGTCTGAACTTGGGTCAGTTACTTATGGGCCTCACTTTCCTCATCCATAAACTGGAAGGAATCTCGGTACCTACTTCCATGGTCTGTTGTGAAGATCAAATAATTTAATAATGGAATAATTTGATTTAAATTTAATTCACTTTTAGAAATATCTGGCACATAAATATATACAAATGTTTGCTATTATTCTTGTTAGTTTTTTATTTAATAAATAAACGTATTCCCTTGCTTAAATTATTTCACCTTGCTGAGCTTTAACTTCCTCATCTGAAAAATGTAAATAATAATGCTCACCTCATGGGCTTGTTAGGATTAAATGAGAGAGTCTGCAAAGCACTCGGCACGGGGTCAAGCATGTAGCTCAGTAAGTGTGCAGTCCCCTTGCCTGTGCCAGGGAGCCTCCCCCCCCCCTCACCTCCTGTCCTAGGTGTTGCAGCCCTGCCTCCCGCCTGCAGGCCCCTGGAGGCAGGGGCCACAGGTTCTACTCCATGGAGCTGCTTCTTGTACAGGGCCCTGCACACAGCAGAGCCTTAGAAAGTACGAGCCTCCCCAGATTCGCTCCTGCCCTCTCCATCCCTCACCCACATCTTTCCTCCACCTTCACTGACTGCCTACACCCTGCCTGTGGGCCCACCCCCTGCCTGCCCTCCCAGTGCGGCCAGTCTCTCCCCTCCACCGTGGCCTAAGGGGAGGAAGGGCTGGGGAGCCTGCAGGTACCAGAGGAAGAAAAATGAGGCTGAAGGGAGAAATTGAAGAGCTCTGAAATGAGATGTAAACATCTGATTGGAAATTCCATGTATTCCACATCCTGCATCTCGGGTATTAAGAAGAGGCTGAGTTTGGGGATCAGGCAAACAGGATGAGTCACAGTTCGGTCACTATCTCTCTAACCTTGTGACTTTTCTCTTTGCCTTAGTTTCCTCAAGTGTAAACAGGGGTAATAATAGTAGTAGTACCTGCCTCATGGGATTTCGTGTGAATTAAATGAGATGCCTGCAGACAGCTTAGCAGTGTCTGTTGCAGGAAGTGGCTTCCTTAGTAACGTCCTCTACCCTGGACATTACACGGCGGTTAATCAACACGATGGCCCAGCATTCTTTTCTCCCCAGGACAGGATATGCCAGCCCTCATTATTACAGTCCATGACACGCCTTCAGACATGATGGAATATACGAAGGGGCCTCCACCCCCAACACGTGACCAGTCCCAGACATCCATAACCCCACACACACCCAACCCGTGTGCTCACACTCACGCACTCTGAACGATCTTATGCTCCTTGAAGGCACACTAACTCACACGGCTTTTGTTATATCGAAGTGTGCTGCAGTTACTCGTGTATGTGCCTATCTCTGCCACCTGATTTTATCTTTCTGTCCCCAGCACCTAGCAAAGTACGTGGCCTTCAACAAAGCTTGTATGAATTACTCATGAACCTATTTTGTCAGGTGCCTAGCACTGTGTCTGGCTTGAAGCGGGTATCCCCAAGGTGTGGCACGGCTGAGTGAACACAAATTAAAGATGTCTATGAACACTCAGTCCTGCCCCCACTCCTTCTGCCCCTACTCAGTCCTGCCCCCACTCCTTCGTGGTTACTGCTCCCACTGGCGTCCAGCCCCAAACTGGCAAAAAGCACCGATGAAACCCAAACTTCAGGACACAGCAAAGCACTCAAAGGCCAGGCCCCTGGGCAGCGACACCTCCACTTTTAGCCTGTGTCTTTTAGGGAACAGCTTGACCAGGGCTGCTCTCCAGCCTGACCCATTCTCCTGGCTTTGCAGCCCTAACCTCCATGCCAACTCCCTTGTAAACAAAAACTGACACCACCCACATCCTGGGTGGCCTCCCCTCTCCAACAGAAGCAGGTGGAAGAGGCCTTGTTCTTTGCTGTCATCTTGCTCCAGGGAAGGGATGGGGCTGAGCTCAACCCTGCCCTTTTGGAACTACTCCCTCCCACTTGCAGGAGGGATAAGGGGAGGGGAGGGGAGGGGAGGTCACTCCTGGCCCAACACACACACTCCGGGATGGCTCCACTGGGCAGAGAGGCCTGCGAACCAAGCCTGGGACTGTCTTGCCTGAAGGGAGGTCTACCTGGGGGAAAGGATTATCAGCTCCCATCCCGGGATCTGGGGGTCTGCCAGCCCAATGAGCACCTGGGGACCCTCATGCCACCCTTCAGGGGCCAGGGAAGTAGCGGAGGGACAGACTGACCTGTAAGGGTTGAGGGTGCAGACGGTAACGGCGGGGAAGACGAGCTTGTCAGAGTCGAGGTTGATGTTGAGGCTGACGGGGTAGCTGAAGTACTCCCCAAAAAGCAGGCCGAACTGCCAGTACATCATGCCGAAGGTGCACAGCCACAGCACTGCCCAGAAGGCAGTCTTCATGCGGTTGTGCTGGGAGCACACCAGGCGGATGGCACCATGGATGGTAGTGTTGTTGCAGAAGAACTGGAAGAGCTCTCGGTAGGAGCGGTGGAACTCGATCAGGGCCTCCTCCTCCTCCGTGGGCTGCTGGGGGGCCGTGGGTTCGGGACCCAGTCCCTGTTCCTCAAGCTTGTCCCCCTTCGTGAGCCCTTGGATGGGCTGGTGGGGGCAAGGGTCTTGCTCCTCGAGCTTGTCCCCCTTCATGAGCCCTTGGATGGGCTGGTGGGGGCAAGGGTCTTGCTCCTCGAGCTTGTCCCCCTTCATGAGCCTTTGGGTGGGTCGGGGAGGGCAAGGGTTAGAGTCAAGGCTGAATTCTGCTCTCTGAGCACCCTTCCCCATCACCACTTTGAACCCAGGTGCAGCTGCCCCAGCCATGCCCACATCTCACCCTGTGCCCACTACCCTCCCCCCCACCTTCCCAGGAGCCAGCTCACCTGCTGAAGCCTGGGAGCCGGGCTTCCCTGGAGTGGCCTCTCCTCTGCTTCCCTGATAAGGCCACCTCTTGGTTCCTGTCCCAGCACCTCCCTTTCTATCTCCACAGCAGTCAGTCTCTTCCTTTGGTCTCAGCTCCTGCCCGGACTCCCTCTGTCTGCCTCCTCCTTCTCCCTGGGTCTCTTTCTCAGCTCTCCTCTTCCTTACCTGCCTCCTCCCCCTGTGCCAGACTTTCTGATCCTGCCTCTCTTCCTCTTCCTCCCCTGCCTTTCCCCTGCCACCCTGGGCCCGCTCCTCCAGCCTCCAGCCCCGGCTCCAGGGACCGCAGGGCTCCAGGAGGCCCGGCCGCCTCCCGCTCCCCACTCCCAGGCTGTGGCTGGACTGGGACCGGTTCCTTTCCAGTTGAATCTGGCAGCAAAGCCTCTCCTCCCCCTCACCTGACAGGTGCAGCAGCCTGGCCAGGGAGCCCGCCCGCCCGACTAGGATGGAAGCGACGGGAGGCTCATTAGCATCTCAATTAAAGGTGAGCAGGCAGGGGGAGGGGCCAGGGAGGAGTCTGAGCCCGGACTTCTCCCAAGGGAGGAGGCTCCCGAGGGCGGGAGAACTGGGAGCACCGGGACAGGGAAGGCAGGGGGCCTGGAGGAGACTGCAGGCAGGGGATGGATGGGGAGCTGGCAGGCCAGGAGGCTGCGAGACACAACCACAGGGAGGCTCAGAGGTGTGAACAAGTAAAAGGATCCTGAACCCAAAGCCAGGAGGGCAAAACAAGGAAAAAGGACAAGCCAGGATGACAGAGTGGGGAAGCCGGGAGGGGAAGGAAGGCTGAAAAAGGCAGCCAGTGGAGGAGGACAGAGCAAAGGACAGGTGGGACAGAGGAGGGGCCCTTGGGAGCAGAGGCAGAGAGGGGGGACCAAGAGGAGGGAGCCTGCCCCTAAGGGAGTCCCCCTCCATGCAGGAGCACTCCAGGAACAGGGTCTCCTCCTGCAGAATCCCCCCAGGGCACCCACAGGTCAACCCCACCCCCAGGTGCTGGAGAGAAAGGAGAAAGGGTCTCTGCAGGGCTCCTCCCTGCTTACTGAGGTGGGAGCACTCGGGCGGGGAGCATCTGCCTCTTCCTCCTGGTCCATCCTCTTTCCTCCTGGCTCCTCACCATCCCCCCAACCTTGTCCAGGCCCGGGAGGGGCCCAGGTGAAGCCGGGCTGGGCGGGAACCTGGGACATTCTGTTCTTTTTCACACTATTGGCTGCCAGGCCAGGAATGTGTAATGTCCTCTGTTGTGGTCACGGGGTTGCAGGAATGTGGGCTCCTAGAGGCAGCACAGCATGAGAGCCAGGCAGGGCACTGTGGGCACAGCCTGGGGCGCAGGGAGAGTGGGCACCAAGGGGCAGGGAGGGATGCAGCCGGTGCTGGGGGTCTGGGAGGAAGAGCATGGGCATGGCCCAAACCTACTCGGGCCCTGCAAGGAAGGGAAAGCTCATTGGTAGGGCTGTTCTTCTCCAAAATCTCTGTCCAAACTTAATCCAGTGAAAGGATCAAGAGTGAAATGCCAAGTGGTGAGCAAGTAGAGAGGGCAGGGTCAGAGAATCAGGCCATAAAGAGGGCTGAAGGAGACACAAGAGATCCGCCCGCACAGCCCAGGCCCTGCACACAGCAGGCCTCTGCTGCGTGCTGTGGGCCCCACAGGAGGCAGGCCAGAGCGCAGGAATGCTGCCACTGGCTTGTCCTGCCTCCCTCCGGGTACCAGGCGTGCAGACCTAGGCCCAGGCCCAGCACTGCTGTAGACGGTGGAAGGGCCCACAAAGGATTCTGGTGGCAAAAATAAGAGGCAGGTGCTGAGGGACCCTGGGGGTGGGGTGGGGCTCGCCCCAGGAGACCCAGGAAGACTTCCCAGAGAAGGTGTCATCTCAGCTGGATCCTGAAGAACAAAGAGTTTGCCAGGCAAAGAAGAGAGAACAGGTGTCCCCAGGCTCAGAGTACAACCTGGTCTGTGGCTTCCTCTCTTGTGGCCCCTTAAAGTGACAGCTGGTGTCAACCAGATTCCAACCCAGGTCCCGTTGCTTACTTGGCACTTGCTCACAATGCCTCCCCTAGGAAGGGAAAGGCTGGCTTTTTCATCATTTTTCTGATGAAGAAACTAACTGACCATCCATGGGGATATGCCAGTTTTCCGAGGGTACAAAATAGCAGCAGCATTATAAGCAGAATTCAGGATTCTCCTCTTCGTCTGGGGTTGTCTACTTAGCACTTTGGCCATTTACCTCCTGAGACGGAGAAGCCATAGACTCATGGGGAATGGGGCTTTACTGCACCTGGATTTGAAGGCCACGAAAGGTTCGCTCACCCCCACATGGAGTCTGTGGGTTGTCAGCTCTCTGGGTGCTGGGCTACCCCTTGCTCTGTGGAAAGCTCTCTACTGTCCCCACCTCCCTGCAGGCCCCAGGTACCCCTAGAAACTCCAGGCTCCCTTGCGCCAGGTCCTTAAAATAGGGATGGTCCTCCCTACAAACAGGGCACTCAGCTCCCTGCCGGTTTGATCTCAGAGGGTCTGAGCAGCCGCTCTCTGACTTTTCTCCTTGCTGACCGGTGCCTGAAGTACATGCACTGGCTCGAGGCCGCACGGCAAACGGTTTTCATCTCAAGGGCTCTGTGAGAAGAACTGCAAGGCCTGGTCTGGGCTGAGCCAGAGAGTGTGGTGACCCTGACGTGTCCTCCCGGGGCACAGGAGCGGCGTGCACACCTGGCGACCGCAGCATTCTAGACCCGGAATGGGGCAGAGCAAGCTTGCTGTGGGGAGAAAAATAGAAATCCGAGACCTGCACTTTTGTCAGAGCTCCGTTTTACATATTATCTTTTAAAGTGTAGAAATAATACACAAATACATTTTTGTTGCAATACAAATTCCAGTAATACAGAAGCATGTAGAAAAATAAAAGCTCCTCTCCGTCCTGTTCCTTTCCCTCCCCTCTGCCCAAGGGCAGCCACTGTAATTTGTTCTGGCAGGTGTGAACAGCTCTTGGCCGAAGAAAAACCCATGGCACACGGAGAGTTGGGGAGTCAGCTTATTTCGCAGGCGGGCTCAGGGAGGCATATCTGCCACCAAACTCTGAGCGCCCCTTTTTCGTTTTCTTTTATTTTTATGCCTTTTGGGGGGTTACAGTTAGCCAATGGCAAGTTTTCACAAAAGTCACCTCTTTTACATAATAGTCAGCCAATCAGAAGTATGTCCCAAAAGTTACTTCATTTACATGGTAGCCAACCAATCAGAAGTATGACCCAAAATCACCTCATCAGCTGTGAGTATTAGTAGCTGCTCAATTTAGGAGCGGGGATAAGCAAAATAGGTGGGTTTTAGTGGAACACCCTGACAATTTATATATCTGTGTATATCTTTTCATATGCCTTTATAGACTGACATGTATTTTAAAAAAACAAAATATATTTTTTTCATAAGTGGGACCATGTTATAGGAATTTTTCTATGATTTTCAATTTTGCTTTTAAACTATGTGACTTTGGAAAAAGCACTTTACCTCTCTTGGCCCCGGTGCTCTCACCTGTGAAAAGAAGGGGCAGGAGGGGTAAGGCAGCTCAGAGGGGCACAAAGACCCTTTTCCAGTTGACACTGCATCTAACTCCTGCCTAACACATGAGGAAACTGAGGCCTGCAGAGGCAAAGTGCCCACAGTGACCCAGGAGGTAGCTAGCGGTGGGTAGACTGAGAACCGAGCCTTTCCAAGCTCAGGGCTCCTTCCCAGGCTTCCAGAGAAGTGCAGTTTTGTTCTGTGGGAGATCAGGGGCCTTGTAGAATTTGTCTTGGAAGGACTCCCCTTCCCAGGGCTCCCCCCAGCCACACCCTAGAGCCCCAGCCCTTCCTGACAACCCAGGGCTGCCTTCCTCCTCCCAACACCAGCCGTCCTCTGGTGCCGGTCTGCAGGGGGAGAAGTGAAGCCAGAGGGTCCGAGGTGGAATGAGGGTTATGCGTGGGAAGGGTCTTCCTGCCTCTTGCACTCTGGGGACAGGAGGTGACAGAATTAGCCACTTCCTCCTCTACACTCCCAGGAAGACCCCATCTCAGCACTTACTGTTGTTTACTATTATTATTATTATTATTTACTATGATTATCCCGATGCATATGTGTGTTTACATATGTGAGGACAGGGGCCAACTTGGTGACCTCAGTGTCTAGTGGTCGCTGTTGACTCATTCTGCAGAAGGCAGCAAAATTAGGACCTTGGGTATGACCCAAGGTTTATCTTTGACAGAGAGGGATGTACCTTGGGAAAGCATCCCCCAAACATCAAACATCCTAACTTCGTCCGAGAACCCATTTATTTGTGGTCTGCTAATTTATCTAAATCTCCTTCACTTTTTCTTTTCACCCTCTATCCTTTCTAAGGTAACAGTGAGTTACTCAATTAAATGGGACTTTTTATTCTTAGTACTTAGAGCTGGTTCACTGCTCCACAATGGGCCGCCTGATGTGGAGAGCAACAGTCTTTTTTTGCCTGCACTTACGTTGTAGTAGGGATTTCTCTCTTGTCTAAAATGACAGACCAGAAAGCCCTCCCTCCCATCTTAGTCTAGTCACCAGGCAGGACACTTAGAAGTTCACCATTTGGAGTTTATCACTTTGGGTTAAGACAGGGTTTATCAACCTTGGCACTATCAACACTTTCATCGAGATCATTCTTTGTTATGGGGTGGGATCATTCTGTCCTGCGCACTGTAGGTTTAGCAGCATCTGTGGCCTCCGTTTGTTAGACACAAGTAGTACCTCCTAAGTCATGGCAACCAAAAACGTCTTCAGAGTTTGGCAAATGTCCTCACAGGGCAAAGTTGAGAACAACGGGGTTAAGGCATTGTTCCCACTGAAAACACAAACACTCTGGAGAAGGATGTTTACCAGAGCCTTCCAAGGGCAATTGGCTAAGAGCGGTGTGGTGAAAAGGAGAGAAAGAAAGCGTATCTAGAAGGAGCCACTCGCACCAACACTCCTTTGGGCTTCCTCACGGGCCTGTGGGAAGAAGGCTCTCCCAGCAACTCCCTGGGAAGGAGGCCTGGGAGAGCAGCCCACCCCCACCCATGCTGCGAGTCTGTGGGGCACTTCCCGTGGGTCTGGTGCTGCCCAGTGAAAAATCAGAAAAACTTCAAGGAAGCTGGTGAAGAACACAAAAGGAGAGAAGCAGGGACCATGTCTTGCCCACAGAGGATTCATGGCTTTCTCACCCCTGTGAGTCTCCTCTCATCCTCCTGGGGAGGGTTGGGTAGGCATTATAGCAGCCATTTTCTGATAAGATTTATCTGTCACAGTCCAGCTGGGAAACGCTCTAAGTCTTTCAAATGGAAGGCATTTAACACAGGGAGAGCTGAGAAGCCAAGCTAGGACAGTGAGGCAGCTACCATCCCCAGGGCTGGGAAGACCACAGGGGACGTAGCATTGAGACCAAGAAGCCTCCAGAGCTGTTGGGCAGGAACTAAATAGTGCGGGCTACCTGGTAGGAGATGGGACCATGGACGGAGGGAAGGAAGAAACAACCAACTGCAGACAAAGTGAAAAAGTAGAGAGGGGAGGAGTAGCCTGGCTTCTCGCCTCCTGCTTACCTGTCATCTACCAGCGCCTCCTATTGGTTAAACCTACCCAAAAGCCGAAGGGAAGAGGAGTCTGGGAAATGTAGTTCCCAGCTGTGACACAGAGGTAAGCCGGGGAAGGGTGGGAAACAGATCTGGGAGCAAACCAGCAGTTGATTGGCACAAAAAGAGACCCAGAGGGGGCAAGGCACCACTAGTGGCTCACACTTGTAATCCCAGCACTTTGGGAGGCGAAGGTAAGAGGATTGTTTGAGCCCAGGAGTTTGAGGCTGCAGTGAGCTATGATGACACCACCCACCACACTCTAGCCTGGGCAACAAAGCGAGACTCCGTCTCAAAAAAAAGAGAGAGACCCAGGAAGATAAAGTGATGGAGCTAGGATCAAAACCCAGATCTTGGCCAGGCTTGGTGGCTCATGCCTGTAATCCTAGCACTCTGGGAGGCCTGAAGTGGGAGGATCGCTCAAGATCAGGAGTTCGAAACCAGCCTGAGCAAGAGTAAAATCCTGTCTCTATTAAAAATAGAAAGAAATTAATTGGCCAACTAAGAATATATAGAAAATATTAGCTGGGCGTGGTGGCCCATGCCTGTAGTCCCAGCTACTCAGGAGGCTGAG